TATAATATAGTATATATATATATATATATAAAAATATATATATATATATAAATGACGGTTTCCTTCAATACCCTAAACTTGTGCAAAAATGTGAGCAAAAAGGTCAATAATACAACTGGAACACAATAAGTATAAAACAAGAAAAACGAGTAAGAAAATGAACAAGAAGGTACAATAAAAGCACATAAATTGTAAGGTATGACAAAACATAAATATACACAGTTATTATATATATATATATATATATATCTCCAAAATAGTTCTTTTATTAGAAATAAAGTTTAATAAGATGTCAAATTATCAAAACGAAGACGTTTTTAAATAAGAACATATGAAAAATGTGCAAAAAAACACAATCAACCTAACCCAATCCAACCCTAACCTAAGGTCACATGATTTGGGGGTTGTTTGGCAGTTACTGAACGGTTCGGTGCAGAATGATTAAGTGATCGGAATAATTAAGAGGCTATCATGATATAGAGCAAAATGAAATATGATTGTTTGGTAATTGTTTACAATGAAATTAGGACGCTTAATGGTTAAGAGATGCTCATGATACAAAATCATTCAGGGGGTTTTAGAACCCTTAAGAGACAGAATTTTTTTGTCAAACACAACTCACCTATTAAAGATTCGGAGACTGTCTCTTAATTGAACTATTAAGAGGTAAATAAACAAACCCTAAGACCATCTCCAATCACAATCTAAGCAACCAGATCGTGAATGAGACAAAAAGAAGTTTTAGAGGAAAAAAAAGACAACCAATCTCTACCGATCCTTCTCACTCAACAATCGAGGATTGAGATTTGAGACACTTTTTATAAATGAAATTGACATGTGGCATTTGTTTATTGGTTGGTTTAATTTTTTTAAAAATAAAACTTATCTAATTAAAAAATGACTTAACAAAAAATTAAAAAATTAAAAATATACCAAAATTCATAGTTTTCAATTCTCTATAGTTAGAGCACACTATTGATATATTTTCATACTTACTTTTATAATTTGTCTTATTTAATTTCAATTGTATGATAATTTTTTTATAGTTATAATTATGTTTTAAAAATATGCAATATTTGAAATCAACAAAAAAAAAACCGAAAAAGTTTCACGAAAACAACTACAAAAACTGAAAAAGTCACTTTAAAAACACCAAGAAACTCAAAGAAACCCTTGTAATCAACCAAAATTTAAAAAATCATTCGAAATAGTGTATTGGCTGATTGTATCGATTGACTGATCGGATTTCGGATATGGAAATCAAGTCCCAATTTTTGGATTTCGGATTGCTTCGGGTTTCAGGTTGAGGTCGACCGGGTTCACATTTAGTTATAATGCAAAAAATATATATATCCAATTGATTTTGACGATAAATTTAATTGATTTAGAGGATTGATAAATCGATAGTATGCTTAGAAATTAGAAGAAAAAAAAAACACGACCGACTAAGATTTTTAGAATTTTCAAAAGATAATTAGATAAATAAGTATATTTATATAGTATTTAATATATGTATATATATGTATATATATATATATGTATATATATATATACACACACATATATATATATACACTAGAAGGGTACTCGTGCAATACAACGTGATATATCTTGATTTTAATATTTTATTTTATTCTTTATCTCAGTTGATGGTATGGTATGGTCTTATGTGATTTTGAAAAATCGATAGTGTTTTTATTTTTGAATAAAATATAAATTTGAATATATCATAAAAATTTGACAAAAATATATCGACATTAGTATCAAATTAACTATTTAAAATTCATATTTTTGTGTATTTTTTTAACTCAATTTTTTTATTATAATTTAATTTAGGTTTAATAACAAAATAATTTATATTTGGTTTAATAATATAATTTGCTTATAAAGATAATAATTAATTATTTTGTTAGAACTCGATAATAATCTTAATTATATTTTAGATTTTTTATATTTTAAAATGAGATGTTTATYATCTAATTAATTATGTTTATCCGCAGTTAATTACGCGAATTCAAATATGTTGTTTTAATAAGTTGTACTTATACATAATTTACTTGTAATCTTGAAATTTAAGTAATATGCATCAATATGCAGTACTTCATGTATAAAAAAATGTTTTTTAAGAGTTTTTGTTAAATGATTTATAATATAGTATATATATATATATATATATATATTTTTCGGTTTTTCGAACGGATCGGGTGGCCAAAAATCAAACTCAACCATAATTTCCCCCAAAAAGTCAGTTTTCTGATTCCGAGGCATTCATATTTACATGAATACTGTATTTTTTGTTCAAATTTGAATTCAGATTTCTGATCATTCGTATTTTTCATAGGGGTGAGCATAAGCGGGTACCCGCCTTTTTTGACAGGAACCGGAACCGGCGGTTCTTGAAATATTGAAATCGGAACCGGTTAGAGCGGTTTTAAAATTTTTGGAACCAGAACCGGAACGGCCAGGAACCGGTTCCGAGTACCCGCTTCCTAAAATATTAAAATTTTGTTATTTAGAAATAAAAAATAAAACATTGCCAAAACTCTAAATAAATAAACAATAATACAAATTATACTGAATAATGGTTACAAATATTGTTTAACGATTACAAACCATAATAGACTAATAGAAAATGTTCAAAGTTTAACGATTACATACTATGAATCCAAGTGAACACACAATTTGAAAAAATACGAATTATTCTATATGAAGAATGAAGATGTAAACCTAATATAAATTTGGTATTAAAGAATAATAATAATTTTTTTATTGAAAAATATCGGGTACCAAGCGGGTAACGGTTCCGAAAAATTGAAAACCGGAACCGGAACCATTTTCAATCGGTTCCATATTTTAGGAACCGGAACTGGAACCACTCATACCGAAACCGGCAATTCCAAAACAGTTCCGATTCCATAACCGGATACCCGATTCTACTGTTCACCCTAATTTTTCACACCCCTAATTCAAATATCTAAGCTTAGGTCGATGAACTTTGTCAAGATAATACAATTTATTTCCAAAATAAATATCCTGATAAAAGAGTTGCTTGAGGCGATGTCATCATGAGTTAATGCCTAAAAAGGCCAAGATGTCGGTAACCATGGTTAAATTTAACCAAAGGTCGGGTTAAGACCCGTTGTCAAGGAGAAATCGCTATCATCCTCCACGTCCCCATGTGAGAGAATACCGTCGGTGGAGGCTAACCGCAGCTTATGATTTTTCAACATTTTTTAAATAATTTTTAATGTTTATAATTCACAGACAGATGTAGAGAGAGAGAAACAAACAAACAAACAAACAAATTATATACAGAAAAGGGAAAGAGATGAAGAATTGCTTCGTATATAAGCCACCGATGCTTACAGCTTATAAATGATAAGAGATGTATACAAGTTTTTAGAGAGAGAAAGTAATACCCACAAGGAGAGAAGAGAGAGAGAGAGAGGGGGGAGGAAGAAGAAGAAGAAGGGCTTCTGGGGTTCTTTTCAGACACAGAAGTTACGGTCATGGCGGATTCAAGTGATTCCGTCTCTGTTGATATGGAAACCATCTATCTTGGTGGAAAGGTTTGTGTTTGATTGGATTTCTTGAGTGTTTTTTAATCCAATTTATGTGTGATTTGACTGATTTCTTCGTACTCATTTGAATACAAACTCATTTCTTCATACCCATTTCAGTTCTTGAATTGTTTACTTTAAAATGCTTGATTTTTATTTTGAATGTAAGGTGTTTGATGAAATGCCCATTTGGTTTTAACTAAAATTTTCGTAGTCTTTGAGTTTGTTTATTTGCTTTTCTTTCTATCTCGTGGTATAGTGGATGTGTTAGATACTCTTTTGGGGATGAACTCATATTTATACCCAAATTAGAAATCCCTTTTCTTGGTGTTTAGGTTTTTTTTTTCTCTTTTGCCTCTTTGCTGACAATACAATTTAAGCTGTAAACGAGTGATTTCTGGAATCATAGATCTGTTGACTTCTATTTCCACCGTCAATTTCTTGAAATATTAAATTCAAGATTATTCATATCCCAAGCCAACAAGTTCGTGAAATCATGTATATGGTCAACAATTTGCTAGCTGTTTCTTTAATTCCTCTGTTTGTATCTTCATTTTGAAAGTTAATCCAAAGGTAGAGATTGCTTGCAACTATTGCTATAAAATCCAAAAAAACCCAATTTTCAGGGATAAATTCTATTCTAATGGGTGTTCATTACATTAAAGATTCGATTTTTAAAGCTGAATCCGTATCTTGATTAGGGGTTCTTCTTGATGAATTTACACAAACTAAAAAAAGATGAATTTGCAAAGCCACATTTACTTTTAATTTGGAATTTTGTTGAATTACTTCATATTGATTCACTTGCCTTGAGTTTTAATCCAAGATTCTTGTTTAATGGTAAAAACTTGCTATCATAGAAAGCATTAAGATGATGTGTTGTCAACTTGTCATTATCTTGAGGTTATATCTCATTATCTTAGCATAAAAGTCCCTTATTATGCTTGTTAGTTTATCCGTCGATATCGATTATATTATAATCGTCATTGGATTCCTTTTTTTCATTTATTTATAAACTTACATCAACATTTCAAGAAACCTATGATTATGAGCCAGCGTGTCCTTTATTATTCATTTTTTATATAGTTTTAGGATTCTTTATATAATACTGTTCAGCCGATTCGAGTGGAATATAACAAGTTTGAATTAGGAAAAAGTTTCGTCTTAAAGCTTAAAACAAACGACTGTTCTTATAAAAACTAAGTCAGCCATCTCCTTTTAGAACAACAAAATCCCATAATTGTCGATAATTTGTACCCTTTTTGTGGCAGTCTCATGGTGTTGATGTTTGAGATGTGGTGTGAATTCTGTATTCAGGAACATATCATTAGGACTGGCCGTGGTTCCGTGTCTGTAATTGTGTATGGAGACCAAGAAAAGCCGCCGTTGATTACGTATCCTGATTTAGCTCTAAATCGTAAGCAACACTAATTTCATGTTCTCTTTTATTATAACCCAGTATTTCTCACCTGAAGTGGGATCCGGTGAGGGTAAACCTCTACCCCCAAGAGTAGAGCGACTCTTTTTGTGAAGACCCTTGTAAATTCTTTTATTTTGTAGTTTCGTTTGGTCTAATCAAGATTTGATTTTGGGCAGATATGTTGTGTTTCCAAGGACTATTCTTCTGTCCCGAAGCAGCTTCTTTGCTCCTCCATAATTTCTGCGTTTATCACATCAGTCCACCTGGGCACGAGGTTTGTGAACGTGCTAACTCGTATTTAATTTCTTGATCCATTTTCACGAAAGTTTGCTGAATTTTATTATTAACGTAAAATTCTCTTTTGGGATTTGTACAAGAGCCGTTGCAGTTAGGAGCAGCAGCGATCTGTTCCGATGATCCCATACCGTCTGTTGATGATCTTTGTGATCAGATTCTGGAAGTCCTCAACTATTTTAGGTAAGTTTACCACCACAATTCGGAAAAATACATCAAAGTTTGCCAGAAATGTCGTCCTCTTTCCAAAACAATGCATCAAAGTTTGGTTTAGTTCCTATTTTATGTATCGAATAATCTTTTTCCTCCGTCAATGTAAAAACGTTTCAAAATTTCCTATTTTGTACACTTTTGATGATGTGGATACCCGTTTACGAAAGGGTTACAGCAAAGTGGACGATAAAATTTGACATCCACATCATTAAATGTTACAAGATCGGGGTAAAAACTAGGAAAGGTTTGAACTTTGTTCCACTAAGCAAAATTTGACATCCATGTCATCTATATGCATCACGCCTTCCCGGGCCCTACTTTCGAGGGGATTTACCGGGTCCGTTTCGTTTGGTTAATTTCATAGAAGAATCTGTTTTTTTGTTGTTTAAGGCTTGGTGCAGTGATGTGTATGGGGGCAACGGCAGGGGCGTATATTCTTACGCTATTTGCGGTGAGACTGCTTGTTAACTCTCTTCTTGATTTTTAGGCATATAAAATGACGTTTTACGGACTTGTTTGACCAAAAACTATGGTTTTATATTGCAGATAAAGTATAGAGACAGAGTTACTGGTCTTATACTTGTTTCTCCTCTTTGCAAAGCACCTTCTTGGACCGAATGGTTTTACAATAAGGTTCGTTTTTTTTTTTGGCAAACCATTGTTCTTTTGGATGAAATGAATCCAATTATTAAGATTTTTGAGTTAAATATTACTTTCGATGTGTAGCTGATGTCGAATTTGCTGTATTACTACGGTATGTGTGGATTGCTAAAAGAGTGTTTACTTCAAAGATACTTCAGTAAGGTACGTTCGGTCTTCTTGCCGTTAGGTCTTTATAACAATATATCGTTTCTATGGGGTCTAATTAACGAGATATCTTTGAATCAAATCAGGATGTTCGTGGTAATCCAGAAATCCCGGAGTCTGATATAGTTCAAGCGTGCAGAAAGGTTAGTCGATCTTCTGATATCACACTTCTTGTTTATACTTTTTTATTGACGTTTCTTGGCGATTATACTCTTCCGGGAACATGCAGGTTGACGTATAGGTCAAATAGGCGTTATTTTTATCTTCACATTTGTTAGATTTCAATCACTACAACTATATCGGCTTTATAGGACGCCGAATACGTCTAGATGTCATAATAAAGTTGTTCTTAAATTTTGTTTGTATCCTGCTATCTGCATTTCATTATGGTCGAATGTTATGCTTATTAGCATATTTTTCGTTTGCAGTTATTGGATGAAAGACAGAGCATTAACGTATGGCGGTATCTTCAAGCAATCGATAGGTATAACTGGGAACCAAACTATTTCATGAGCGTCTTCCTGTTCGAGGATCAAGATATTAAACTTTTTTCCCGCTTTTTCTGTTTTGTTGGAACGAGTAGGAGACCCGACATTACTGAAGGGTTGAAGAAGCTAAAATGCAGAACACTTATCTTTGTCGGTGATAGCTCCCCGTTCCATTCGGAAGCCCTCAACATGACTGGAAAGTTGGACCGAAGATATAGTGCTTTAGTTGAGGTATATATGCATTGCTTTAATATGGTATTTTATATATATACACATAGGCGAAGATCGTATGAGAAGGAGAGTTAAATGAGAAGCTTAAGAATCTTGATCGCTTTTAATCTCAAACCCACCCATGAGTCGCGCTTGATACGGGGATTGATCCGGTGCGTCTCATCCTAATGTGCATCTAAGGGTGGAGATCCCTTCTTACGCTTCGCACCTTTAACTCTCCTTCTCACCAGAAACCAACCCTATATATGTTACATGTACAGAGGGAGGTTCGGGGGAAAACCTTCAAAAAATTGAAAAACTTTGGAACGACCTAGTAACCCATTTCATCTGGACCGGTATGCACATTTGCATAGAAGTAATTGAAGTAGTTTCTTGGTTTTTGTGCACATGTGCATACTGGATAAATTGCTTACAAATTATTTGTATACACATGTGCAATATTGTAGAGTGAACGGTTATCATGGTGTTTCTCAGTTTTTCATTTTTTTTACGGTTTTCCCCTGCACGCGACCTATATATCTATAGTGCTTAATCTGAAACTCTTTGGAGACAGAGGCAAGACCTGCGTACATTCTTTCTACAGAACCTACCTCTGCGTGGGATATACTGTGGATGCATCTTACCCCGAGACTCTTACCTCTATGTAGGATTTACTAGATGCATCCTACCCGCAGACCCTACCTCTGTGTGGGATATAATGGATTCGTTTGGTTTTCGGTTAATTTGATTAACAAGAATAGGTATGCTAATTCAAGATTATGTACAATACAGGTACAGGTTTGTGGATCAATGGTGACAGAAGAGCAGCCACATGCAATGCTGATACCCATGGAGTATTTTCTAATGGGGTATGGACTGTACAGGCCGAGCCAATTCACGGGCAGCCCGAGGAGCCCTCTGAGTCCGTCTTGCATAGCCCCGGAACTTCTCTCTCCCGAAAGCATGGGGTTGAAGCTAAAACCGATAAAAACACGAGTATCTTGTCATGGGGAGTGAAAGAACGATGACGATGGATGGATGGATCGATCCCGGAGTGAGTTCAAGTACAGTTTGTTGGTTGGTAATTTTTTTTGGATTTTGGATTCAAGGGTAGATATATATAATATATATATATATATATATATGTATACATACATATGGTATATGTAGATAGAGGAAAAAGGGTATTCTTTAAATGGTGGACATATAATTGATTTGTTGTAGGGTTGGTGGTCATAAAAACAGAAACATTGTATTTGTAAAGGAGAATATGATTTATGATGAAAAAAGTAATAATACCTTCTCTTTTTGTAGCTGCACCATGAACTGTCAATTTGTCTTCATGATTGGTTCAGCATCTAATATATATATATATATATATATATATATATATATATATATATATATATGTGTGCCTAATCAAATAAGAACTAATTAGTTTGTGGTAACTGTGAGAACTAATATTAACTATAAATCAATAGAGAAATTAGGAAATTTATAATTTTGGCAATTTTGAATTAAAATTTAATGCAAGAATATTTTTGGTGTTTTACAACTTTCCTCCCTCCTCTCTTCTCTCTCCGGCCACCGTTCGCCGGCCACCGTCCTCCGGTCACCGTTCGCCGGCCACCGTCCTCCGGTCACAGTTCGTCGGCCACCGTCCTCCGGTGATACTATAATGGTATCACAATGCATCATATATGTGCTTGGGTATCACATTGATGTCGTTTGTATGATCGATTGAAGATGTAACACAGTGGTATCATTATGCATCTTATATATGATTAGGTATCACAATGTATCTTTTGTTTAATAGAGTCAATATTTTTAGATATCACAGTGGTATCATAGTGGTATCACCGGAGGACGGTGGCCGGAGGCCGGAGAACGGTGGCCGGAGAGAGGAGAGAGGAGAGTTTTAAAATACCAAAAAATCCTTGCATTAAGATTTTAATTTAAAATTACCAAATTTATAAATTTTCTAATTTATCTATTGATTTGTGGTTAATATTGGTTCTCACAGTTACCACAAACAACCCAGTTATCCTTTGAATAGACCCTATATATATATATATATATATATATATATATATATATATATCTACACACACACCCCTAATAAATAAGTAATTTTATGGACACGTGTAATGTTTTTATGCGACGGTTATTGATTTTTCACGCCTAAACATGTATGTAGACACAATTTTCACTTACGGTTCAGATAGGTCTATTTAAGTGACATTTGTCCCTCTACACGTTTATTTTCCTGTTTTCATTGTTTAACTGAATTTAAGTCTGAATTTAACTCTGAAGTGGCCCCAAGACTTACAACATAATTATGGGAAAATTAAGAGTTGTAAGTCTGAATTCAACTCTAGGGTGACCTCCAGACTTACAACATAAATCTGGGAAAATTCAGAGTTGTAAGTTTGAATTTAACTCTAGAGTGGTCATCAAAACCGGGTTAAAATTTTCAAATTCGGATTTTTAAAGCATTGTTCACAAAGCAATATTACCCGGGAAAAATAAATTCTCGACCCCAGCCAGGGGCTCTGCCCCTTGGACCTTGCCACTGGGAGCGCTGCCCTCGAACCCCCGTCGATAAGGGCGTTTCGCCCCTAATCAAAATAAACTCAAACAAGTGTGCACTTCGCACATTCCTTAGATGTTCGATATTTATCATGATTACATTGGTCAACAAGTTTAATCTCATTACACTTAAATGACATTAGTGATACAAATCACCAACATGAAGTCATCAGATATTGATTATTTCTCAGACTTACAACATAACTTTGAATTATTTTGTTCCAAACTTAATTATATAGTTTATTCCCAGACTTAATATATAAAGTTCAGAGTTATAAGAAGTTAGAATTCTTGTGACTCAGAGTTATGCTCGCAGATACTTTCAGAGTTAAGTCCAGAGTTATTTTTCAGCCTAACAATAGAACTCTGAATTCTTGTGTTTTTTTCTCATTTAAAATACTCCGTGTAATACATGGGGTCGAACCTAATATATATATATATATATATATAGAGAGAGAGAGAGAGAGAGAGAGAGACTTAAGATCATGTGAGACCAATGGTTTTTCGTGAGACCCGTAAGACCAATTCTCAACCCTTGGATTAGATTTACAATCGTCAGATCTGAACATTTATAAACGCCACGAGACTTCTCACTAATTACGAAATTGCCACCTTGCAACTTTGCAACCATTAGATCATTAATTCATAAATTTGATCAATGAACATAAATTGGTCTTACGGGTCTCACGAAAAACCCTTGGTCTTACGTGAACTCAACCCTATATATATACATATATATATATACACTATCTTATTAAGCAAATTTAGCAAAAGTCTTAAAGTCTTAAAATACTAAATGACCAAGATACCATTTATACTCCCCTTCTATCACTTTTTCACCCTCTCCTCTCTCACATACATTTACCCCCTCACATACATTCACCCTCTCACAACCGATTTTTATAAAATTATAATTTTAAATTTACACTTTATACCCCTATAATTAGTTAATTAATTTACTTTACGTTCTTTACTTTTAAATGTTTCATTTTAAACTTTTATCAAATTAACATACATAATCGTATATCAATTAAAACATGTTTAAAAAATACATTTTTATTTTAACAAATTACACCATTATAATCGTCTCGTTAATACCTTCGAAATGAGTCCAATATTGAATAGTTTTTGATTTAATTATATTATTATATATTATATATAATGTGAAAATATTTTTAATATTTATGATTTATACTTTTATAGTTATTCATTTATATATATACTATATATTTTGGGGTTAGTCTGTCCAAATTGCACTATATAATATGTTTAGAATTAATATGTTCTTGGGTATTTTTGAAATATATATATATATATATATATATATATATACATGTATCAATTCAACCTTAATCTGAGTTTCTGGACAAGAAAGAGGGTAAGCAGTTGAAATTTTATTTTAAAACTCATCTTTTGTGGTCTTTTCATGGCTTATGATCTGTCAAATTTGTAGTTTTTTATTGGTTTTGAGTGTTTATCTTAAAACTCAAGTTTTTTGGTTCTTTGTTCTTTGTGTAAATCAAACACATTTGTGGAGTCGTTTAAATATGTTGGATTTTAAATATATTGAATTTTAAACTTTCATACAATTTTTTTCATCGATAGTCTGTAATTGGAACCATAACTCTTATTTATTCAAATTGTATTAATATGTAAAGACCAAATGTAACTTATATCATCGTTAAATCTTATCTTATAAAACCAGTGGAACTTCAAAATCGTTAAGATTAATGGCTCTCGCTGCATTGCGCGGGTACACAACTAGTATATTATAATATATATGTCTAATCAAATGAGAACTGTTTTGTTTGTGGTAACCGTAAGATCCAATCTCAACTCTAATTCAAAATTTAAATTAGAAAATTAATAATTTCGGTAACTTTAACTTAAAATATTAATTAAGGACATTTTAAGGATTTTATAAAAATCCTCTCTCATCTCTTTTCTTTCCTCTCTCCAACGAATCTTATTCAGCGAACCTTATTCCGATGAACCATATGTGAACACAAGATAACATTGTGATACCTACAAACGATATTCACTGTGATATCCATATATACATACAAGATACACAATGTGATATCCTTTATAAAACAATGAAAATAATAAAAATGCACACTATGATACATTTCATAAAACAAAAAAATACATTGTGATACCATTAAAATATTGTGAACGTTATCACTATTATACACTTTGATTCACAAAAATCTTTAAAATACGATGTATATTAGGTAATTGATATACTAGGTAACTAATTTTAATTAAATATTTCCTTCTAAAAATTTAGTTAAATATTTTGATTAGTTGTCAAAAATAGAATTACTATATTATCATTTTAGCTTATTTAAGAAATATCCTTAAATATATTAAACGAGTGGTTCACATTGGATCTCATAATCACCACAAACTAATCAGTTCTCCCCTAAATAAGTCTAATATATATATGATTACTTCATTAATAAAGTTACAAACAACATTAGAAAAATGACTTTTTAAAATTGTAGTATAAAATCACAGATACATCATAAATAGGTTTCGGAACTTGCGTTTGAACTAAAACTTAAGTTGCATATCGCTAATAACATCATCGCTCACTTGGAAGGCCTTTGCAAGAATATCGGTCGATATATCTGGATTGGAACCAAATACTGCACTTGCTATAGGAATCACTCCAGGGTTCTGGCTACTCAACGCCACCACTGCAACCGCATAAGTGTTTCCAATGTTTCGCTGGTAATGCACAAGGTTCACAGGGAATACAAAAACGTCACCCTTATTCAATGTCTTGGAAATATGACGATTTTCAGGGTTTGATGTCACAAATCCAACCTGAATCTGACCTTCCAAGACGGTCAAGATTTCCGTAGCACGAGGATGAGTGTGAGGTGGGATGACGCCCCATGGTGCAAAGTCGAGCCGAGCAAGCGAGATCCCAAGGGTGTTCAATCCTGGCAGGTGGAACACAAACACCGGGGTCACACTGGACCCCAATGCATTCGAAGTGTTCCCCATCATATGGAGACCACTGTAGTAGAAGTCATTCGCTTGGACCATATTCGGGTTTTTGCAAGCGAACCCGTTCACCATTACTGTCATAAATTACACCAAAATATTAATTAGACGAAATAGATTAAAAACCCATCTCCGTCACATTTCCTCCATGTTTCACCTATCACTTAGACAATCATTATTTTATTCAAATATAAACATATTTAGGGGCCGTTTACCAAACACTTACCCGGGTAAGTGCTTAACAAGTCGTGTTACCTCACCGGATGAATATGGTAAGGACCAAGAATCTTACCCGGTAAGAGCGAGACAAGGACCATGAGTCTTACCCAGTAAGTGAGGGCGACGACTCTTACCACGGTAAGAGCTTACCGGGTATATTGTTGCATATAATGTCGTTTTGGTGGACTAAAATCTTACTCGAGAAGTAAATAATAGTGTTAAATTTTACCGGTAAGCACTTATTGGGTAAATGTTTGGTAAACGGCCCCTTAATTAAATTACGTTTTTTTATCCTTGTGGTTTGATAAAGTTGAGATTTTCTTTCGGTTTAGAAATTGTGATTTTCGTCCCTATGGTTTGTAATTCATCGTTATTTTCATCCATATGAAATTCTAAACGACAACATATTTTTATTTATCAAACAACAGATTAACCATAAACGTACCTTGACCGTTCAAATCAGCAACACAAAAATCTTGAAGAGGACTATGGTCCGCAGCCAACGCCACCGTAAAAGCCAAAGCTAGAACCGCGATCGAGCCAAGACCACGAGCCATTTGTCGATCGGGCCGAAAGGGGGTTCGTGAGGTTATGAGTTTTGTGGTTTAAATGTGAAGGGCGTAAAGGTGTTTATATAGATAACGGAAATGGTGGATGAAGGTGTTAATTGCCGTCCTCCGGTTCATTTGGACCACTGGTACGATACAAACGGTTCGCAAACAAAGCGGTTTTCTTTTATCTGCTTGTTTTATTATGAAATGAACCGGCAGCCGGTCGTACAAACATTTGCAGCAAACTACAAGCATCTTTGAAGTTTGAAGATAGTGATAGATTCTTAACAATTTGATAGTTAATATTAAATAATTATTGCAATATAAAATAGGACAAATTGTATGAAATAATAACGTACTTTGACTTGATTCATATTTTGGATTAACGTATTTTCAAAACTTTCATTTTGGTATCTAATATGTAAAGTTTTAAACATTTAAGTACTTGGTTAACCGGTTGAAAACTAATTTAGTTTAAAAAAAAGACTAATTTTAGATTTAAAAGATTAATTTCACTAACCACATCAGCAAATAATACTGACTTGGATACCACATTACTCGCCACATCAACATGATAACCGGTTAATTCTTCAACCAGCTACCCGGGTACTTAAATGTTTAAATCTTTACATCTTAGATACCAAAATGAAAGTTTTAAAAGTACATTACCCAAAATAGGAATCAAGTTAAAGTACGTTACTTTTTCATGCAATTTGTTCTAATATAAAATATGATAAAAATTAATTATGATAAATTTTATATACAATATAAAAAATAAATAAATTATTTTACCTGTTATTTGTTAATTATAATCAACGTTAAACATCACTTTCAATCGAGGATTGTGGGGCTGAGGCAGGTCGTTCCAATACTTTTGGAATCTCTGTTATACCTGTTACACCCGAATTAAAATATAGTTTATCTGAAACGAGTAATAAATAAAATAAAATATAAAAGTTCATATTAAATTAAAAATTTACAAATAAAACAGATAAAATATTTAAAACGACAAAGTGAAAAGAATAGTTAAGAGTCGTTTTTTTTATTGCAAATTCTTAAATTAAATAGCTGCTTTTTTATTTTGAAATAAATTAGATGGATCTTCATTGAGCCGAGTTCACTGTTCACATACAGTTCTGGATTGAGGTCCATGGGGATGTGATGAAATGTATAATCTGTTATGAGTTCAATTCCAAACATTTATAACAGTTATAGTCATTGAATTTATCAGGAATTACTGTTTTAGAATATTTTTACATTTTTTTATGGATTCCTGTTTGAAGAATCAAATTAGATATTATTAGAATAAGGGATAACAATATTCCCATTACAAAATTATTAACACCAAATAAAATGTGATAAGTATATTCGTTATCCCAAACTCACAAAAATACATGAATATTTGTGCAATGCAGTGAAATAAATCTTGATTTTAATGTTTATTTTTTTTTATTTTTTGTTTATATAAATATAAGATGATTTTATGTGATTTTAAGAAAGCGATAATGTTGTTATTTTTGAATTAGAATATAAATTTGTAGATAACATAAAAATTTGTAAAAAAATAAATCGATAATAGTATCAAATTAACTATTTAATAGTTCTCGTTTTTTTAGGTGTAACTTATTTAATTCAATTTTTTTATTATAATTTAATTTAGATTTGATAACAAAGTAATTTATTTTTGGTTTAATAATATGATTTTTTATAAAAATAATAATTAAATATTATGTTAGAAATCAATGATCATCTTAATTATATTCTAGATTTTCTATATTTAAAATGGATGTTTATCCTGTATTTGATTATGTTTATCAACAGTTGGTTATATGAATTTAAAAATGGAGCTTTAATAAGTTGTACTTACGTAAAATTACTTGTAATATTAAATTTTACGTAATATGTATCAATAAACAGTACTTCATGCATAAAAAATGATTTTTAAGAGTTTTTGTCAAATGCTTTATAATATAGTGTGTGTATATATATATATATACACATATATATAATTTGAGATCATGTGAGACCAACCTGTTTTCACGAGATTTGTGAGATCATTTTTTTACACTTGAAACTTTACAGCAAAATGTTGTGAAAGTAACATTCACATTGTTTTTTATGTGAATGTTTGACTTTTTTTACATTCACAACGTTTTGTTGTGAAATTTCAAGTGTAAAAAGTGGAATCACAGGTCTCACGAAAACATGTTGGTCTCACGTGTGTGTGTGTATATATATACTAGAAGCGTACTCGCGCAATGCAGCGAGATACATCGTGTTTTTAATATTTCATTTTATT